CAAATGTAGGATGGGCCACTGATATAAACTGTCCAATATGAAATGACTGATGTCAAGGCTGGTGTCACACAGGGCTTTGTCAGAAGGAAAAGCTCAGAAACAGAAAATGTCAAAAAACACTGTAAGACAGAGAAGGTTCTTGTGGTCTGGGAGTTGGGAATGTATAATTAAGAAGCCCTCAGCTTTGACTTATACAGCCAGGACTCTTACCAGATTTTTCTGAGGGATGCTATTTTAAACCTCTCATTTACTATTTAGTTTGCCAAGATCCAGGAAAGTTATCCTCCATATGTATTTCTTTAGAATGAGGAATATAAATAACAAGGTTTTGCTCCGTGCAACTTGGGTAGATATACTACCTCTCTGGTCAGACTAGGAGAAATCTGGAAAAGAATGTCATGGCCTCTGGGTTATCAAATCCTGACAATCTGAGTGAAGAGTACTGAAACAAATACTCCAAACTAGTTATTATTGAAGTAAATCTCTAAGTCCTACAAGATCTGAAGAAAGAGGTGTAGCTCAAGTATTGGTAATATACTGGGAGATCTGGTAAGTTAAGAAATATCCTCAATTCTTAAACAAACTGGTCTTTACTTGATATATACATATTTTTTAACTGATGTGGGATTTAATCATTTCCCACAACAAAAACAAATCCTGGAAATAAGATGTAATCCTAGTCCTAGGTAAGGACTATGGATCCATTTTGTGCATCTCCTAGAATTACAGCACTGGCCTATAACCAAAAGTAGGAAAAGCTATTGAGATGTTTTTGGAGGTCTTAGCACCATTTTGGGAAAAGATATGAATGGCAATCACAAAGGCTATTATATCTTTGGTAGCTGACTTGTTAAAACATTCACCTGGGGTAAACATTCCACTTTCTTATACTAGTTCAGATTCTGACCATTTGGTACAACTGCCCACTCTTTCTACAACATCTCTGAAAGATGCCAATCCAACCACTGGACACTTCCAGCCAATTTCACAATCGAACAGATTATTAAAGGCAGTCTGACTCCTTGTAACCTTTCACCTACTGGCCTTGGTTTTGACTGCCCAAGCCACACAACTCGTATCCAATATCCCTTTCACTTTTTTACTTGTCTTCTATTATGTGAACACAATAGCGTTGTCTAACCTTAGTCTTCTTTCATCTCTAAGGTGACTCTAGTTTTCTTATCTATTGCTTTTATAATAAATTCCTTATGTTCTAATTTCACTTCCCTCCTCTGAATAAAATACCAAACCAGGGGTGCCTGGGTGGCTCATCCAGTTGAGCGGCTGGACTCTTCATTTCAGTGCAGGGTCGTGGGATTAAGCCCCGCACTTGGTGCAGAGTCTGCCTGAGATTCTCTCCCTCTCCCTCGTTGCCCCTCCCCCAAAAGCACACTTTCCATCCCTCTCTCAAATAAATAAATCTTAAAACAAAAACAAAAACAAAAAAAGACACCAACCCTCCCAAAACACTCTTACATGCAACTTACACAACTGAATATAATAACTGGAAATCAATCTTAGTCCAACGTAGATGTCTGAGTAGCATATAAATACAAGTGTTACCTTGTTTAGCTAGAACTCTATAATGCAAGCTCTTTTCAACTGGACATTCTCTAATAACATATAAATATGTACCACATCTCTTTCCATCATCTCTATATGTGAATATGTGAATTTCTTAAACCTAAAAAGTGTTTTACATATTTCTTCACTGAATGATACCTCTTTGCACACTGCAAAGACTGAAGCCACGGAATTCTATCACCACCCCCAATCCTATTCCAAGGTTCTAGAGAATGCTATATATTTCCTTCTTTGGCTCTGACAGACAACATGATGTTCTTCCCAAGGTTTTGTCTCTCTTCCTTATTTTTCAGAAATAAATTCAGAGAACCAATCTCCTTTACTGTAACCTGTTTTCTAGGAGATTTTACTGTCAAGAATTTCAGATGGTATTGCTTTTGGCAAAATTAGACTTGCAGCTTCCCTATCCATCAACTTGCCTCAACAAGTTTTGTGACTTATTAAAAAAAAAAAATCATTCATATCCTCTGTGTGTGGTGGGGGACTGAAGAAGAAACAATTTTTTTCTCGTAAGAAATGGCTTCTGAAGGGGTTTCTGGGTGGCTCAGTCTGTTAAGTGTTCAACTCTTGATTCTGGCTCAGGTCACAATCTCAGGGTCTTGAGATTGAGCCCCCACACTGGGATCCAAGCTCAGCACAGAGTCTGCTTGAGATTCTTTCTCTCCCTCTCCCTCTGCATCCCCCTACACTGAGCTCTCTCACTCTAAATAAATCTTAAGAAAAAGACCAAAAATAAATGGCTTCTTAAATAATTTATCTAGAAGAAATGCAATCTAGTTTAATAGTAAAAAGCACCCAACAGAAAAAAAGCTCCTATTTATGTTTATTATTTTTCATTAACAGAAGAACTCCACTCCTTGGGAATTAACTGCCTATTGGGAGCAAGTGACTACCCTCTTTATTTAATTAATTTAATTTAATTTAATTAACTTATTTAACTAAATATTTTAGATGAGAAGACAAACCAAATTTTTTCTAAACTGTTCTAACATGATTCATTTCCTTAAGTCTGCATAAATCTCATTCCCATTGCTTAGAAATCAAAACAAAGACAAAAATATGTCCCCTCCCCCTGTAAAACCTCCAAACTTTAATTGGTTAAAAAAAAAGAAAAAACCCAGCTTGCCCTACAATGTACAAACACAAGAACTGCTTGATCAAGCAGTTCCACAGTCCCCACACCTACACTGAGCTTCCAATGGCATGTTTATATGTACACCAACATGACAGCTCAAGGTCTCTTAAGAGATTATAAAATGTATTCTCCTCATGTAAGAGAAAACGTAGCTGGATACATTTATTTAAAAGTTAATCTAGGTTCTCTCATTAATTACTAACTCAGATTGAATTTACAGAGCTAATTTTTTAAAAGTTTCTTATATGACTGGGTTTAGATGCAGGGGTTTTAATGCTCTGGTTTAATGTACACCATTAGCAACTTTTATTACTCTCCTTTTACACCTTAAATTCTTAGTTGTATAACCTGTACCAGATAATTTGGGTAAATATTGAGACACATTGATTTCTAAAACAAATTTTCCATTTCAGTCAAAGCCATATGAAATCTTTTTTTTTTTTCCAAAAGATTTTTATTTATTTATCTGACAGACAGAGATCACAAGTAGGCAAAGAGGGAAGTAGAAAGAGGGGGTGGGAAGCAGGCCTCTCCGCTGAGCAGAGAGCCCGATGCGGGGCTCAATCCCAGGACCCTGAGATCATGACCTGAGCCGAAGGCAGAGGCTTTAACCCACTGAGCCACCCAGGCGCCCCAAAGCCATATGAAATCTTATGTAAAAAAGTACTTTGAAATGTTGGGAAAGAACTGAGGGTGGGATGGTGGAGGAGGAACAAGGTCAGTAAGAAGCTAATCCCATAACCTCTAAATATTACTATTTTCAGATATGAACTCATTAATACACCAAATTCTTGAAAGGTAGCAACTAAGATCTTGCTTGGCTATTTTTATCCCACAGATCAAGTGAACAGAATCTAAGTAACACTACCCTTTGGATTACTTATCAGTTGGTTATGACAATTTGCCAAATTAGTTGTTTAAATGTCGACTACATGGCCAAACAGGGCAATTCAAATTAGCTGAGAAAAGATAGCACTGATCACTAAAATTTTAGGCAAAATGGCAAGCAGGTGAGATCTGACTTTAGTGTTTTTCACCCTTCTCTTTCTGCTGCCCACAGGCTGTTTCTAGTTCTCCCACCAAACCTTCCTCTTAAAAGGATGCCCAAATAGGAACCCAACAAAGTTGGAACTGATAAAGCATATTCTCCAGTAGTATTTATATTTTAAAACAGGGACGAGTTGAAGCAAATATCTTAAGTAAAAGCAATGTCTGTGAACATGGGAATTTTTCTTACACTCTTTCTGTGCTCATCATGCCAACTACAAAAGAAGGGAACCATTTAAACATACTGTTTTTAAAAAATATATTTTAACCAGACATGTAATACAAAATAAAAAACCAAGAGTATCCTAAGGATGAGAAACTAATCCCACTTTCAATCATGTATAGCTCACCTGAGGATACAGTCATGATCTTTTCTCCAAGTGAAAGGCATAAATGATTTATGGAAATAAACTGAGAAACAGAAATAAACTGAGAACCCCTAGTTCTTTTAAATTCTTCAGTTAAAATACCTTTATATCATAAAGTCAACATAGTAAATACTGAAGGAAAAGTAATTCAAATGATCTAAATCTCAGAAAGAGGCGAGATGTGTCCCAACTTCAATTCTAGATCCCAGCTTAAGTACCTCCACCATCTCTTCATCTCATCCTACCACTTTCCACCCCAACTTGTGTATGTGGCAGCCACGACCCGCCCGCACCCCCCCCCAAAGTAAGATCTCAGTTCATCCAAACTTGATTACTCCCAGTTCTAGCCTCTCCAGAAACTTGCTAATGACTGGCTACCCTGACAAACCCATTAACACTAACGTGTCAATGGCTAATTAAGCTACTCCTCCTAAATTACACCCTTGTATTTTACAAAGGCCTCTAAAACCTTAACCCAAAGGATTGATAAGAATTATAGTGGAACTTGCAAGAACGATAAATTTTGGAGATAACTGGCCTTTCAAATCACAGGGTCTACGGCGTCCCCTACCCTTTCTTGTGTATGGAAGGCTCCTAGAGTAGCAAAACCGGAAGTTGGTACAGGTATTGTTGATACAAACAAAGCAAAAAAAAAAATAAAAAAAAAAATCCACTGAGTGGGGCACGCTCGCCCCCTAGCCCCATGTCCTCGCCTTGGTCCCCAATCGATGAGAGCGAGATGACTAGTACCGGAGTCCTAGGGGGAAAAGCCGGGGCCAGAGGAGCGCAGCGTTTGGTTTCAGGCCTGAGAGCCACGGTAGGCAGGAGGGGCGTAGGGCGAAGCGAGGCGGCATCGGTCGGATTACCTGCGGCAAAGTGCAGTGGGGTCGATTTCCTGCCTGCCGTGTCGCGGCTGTTCACCTTCTCGGGGGTCACTAGCCTCTTGACTCGCTCCACGTCCCCGTTGCGGCACGCCTCGAAGAGCTCGCGGGCGGCTGGCTCCACGGCCTCGGCCGCCGCGCCCGCGCAGGCCGCGCCCCCACCGGCACAGCGGCGGCCCGACATGATCCTGGCCGCCGCCGCCGCCAGCAGTAGCGCCAGCAACGGCAGCAGGAGCCCCGGCCCTGCAAGCAAGAGGGCGAGGCCCCCCGGAGCAGACGCGCTCAGGGCCTGGGCCGCTCGGCTCCCTGCTGTCACCGGGGTTGGCGCAGTCCCATGGCCGCGCCGCCGCGCGCCCCTCGCTCGGCCCCGCGACCCCGGGCTGCCCCTCGGCGGCGGAGGCAGCGCGAACCCGCCGTTCGAGCCCCGAAGCGACGCGGCGGCGGAAGCTGGCAAGACCCCTCCTGCCAGCTCCGCTGAGCCCTGGGAGGGCACGTGACGTAGTGCGGCGCGTGCGCAGTGCTGAGAGACCAGCCCTGCAAGTTTTGGCGAGTGGGGACTTGCGGAGGGGCTTGTGGGAAATGTGAGGCGAGAACCTTTGGCTGCGGGAGGAGAAGGGGCTTCGTTCGACCGCCATCTTTGCAGTGGGTTTTGCTGAAGTCGAATGCTTTTGGTTATTGTTTTTTAGTGCATGGGTTTTATGAGCTGAATTTCCTTATTGTTATTTACACTGAAAAGAGCCATTGAAAGTCCCCCCCCCCCGATCTTGCATATTATTTTGGAATTCTTAGTGTGGAAATTTCCCATTTTTCAGCTTTCACAATCCCTTTCTTCTGGGGGATTTCTTTTCCGTTTTCTTTACTGTCTCTTCCTTTCCCTTGCAAATGGTATTCTATAGTTTCTTGTGAGTCACATCTCGAAACGAATGAGTTGCTTTCCACTTCATGGGGAGTTTGGATAAGCTGTCCCAAAGAAAGCGATGAAAGTGTGTTGCAATTCTAAATAATTGAGTGGGATGGCTCTGATTAATAACTTTTCCATTAGTCGTTAGGTAGAAGTTACTAATAGCCCCATAAGGATATCAGCCTTTTACTGACTTGGTTGGGGTGTGGATACACTGGGTATATGCATCACCGACAAAGTTTAATGATTTGCCATATATATACATATATATGGAAGGAAGGAAAGCACACAGTTAATTGTCACGCTTAAGGTAGTAATCTAGCTGTTATCATTCCCTACTCCATGCCCTGGCCTCAGGAAACTGCTTGAAAGTAAGGTATGCTTACATGAAATGATACATGTTGACCTTTGGCATGCTGACAAGCATTTTCCCGCTTGTCTTTAACTTCTTAACCTGTTTTTCAGGAAAACCAGTTTCTGTTTGGGAATGTTGACTCACTACAGTGCAAGAAGATGAGAATGTACACTTTTAGGAAGGAACATTTTTATACATATAAAAGTTATATAACTATACATGATAATATATTTAGTAATTTAAATTATATTGCTTGTTAATAAAATGAATATCCATGAATGCATATAAGAACTAGAGCACCAGAACTATTGCATCTACCCTTTTCATCCACTTGACAAATGTGTTCCAATTTTATTATTCTGTGTATACTAATTTGTCCTTATTAATCCTTTTCCATGTGTGTATCCCTCAACAGCATATTGTTCAGTTTACTTGTTTTGGAGCTTTATAAAAATGTCAGTCTTTGTGGTCTTTTTTCACTTAAGGAGATGTTTGTAAGTCTCATGAATTCATTTTCATTGCTTTATAGAGTTGCCCTGTATGAATACACTAAATTTACAATTTTACTGGCCACTTGGTTTGCTTCCAAGTTTTGTTACTATGATAATTTTTTTATAGACTTTGAGAGACAGAAATGCAATTGGTGTCTTCAACCAGTAAACACACTCATATATATAAAACAAAAGTTTCACAAAATAATAAAATAGTCATTTCTTCAGTGCTTAAGAAATGCTAATTGTGGGGCAGCTGGGTGGCTTAGGGGGTGTTGCCTGGGTGGCTCAGTGGGTTAAATCCTCTGCCTTCGGCTCAGGTTATGATCCCAGGGTCCTGGAATCGAGCCCGGCATCGGGCTTTCTGCTCAGTGGGGAGCCTGCTTCCCCCACCCCTGCTTCTCTCTCTGCCTACTTGTGATTTATGTCTGTCAAATAAATTTAAAAAAACTTAAAAAAAAAAAAGAAATGCTAATTGTGACTCTCAGTAAATGGATTACAGAACTCAGGATTACAGAACTCACAAATGAGTGTTGACTCAGGGTTTGAAAAGTACCACGGGAATGGACTATTACTAGGTGGAATAGAATTGCTGAGTCTTAGGGAAAATGAATATTCACTTTACAAGGTAATGCCAAATTGTTTTTCAGAGATTGTTAATGATGTACATGCCCACTAGCAGTGTATATATATTTTTAAATTCTCTGTCCTTGTCAATTCTTGGTATTGTCAGATTAAGTTTTCCAGTAAATATAGTGGATGTAAATGGCATTTCAAAAAGGTCTTAGTCTGCATTTTTATAAATACCGAATGATCATTAGGAAAGTGCACATTGAAACCACAGTGCGATTCTACTGCACATCCATTAGGATGACTAGTCAAAAGAACAGAAAATAAGTGCTGGTGAGGATGTGGAGAAATTCTGGAATTCTTGCACACTTTTGTTTTATTATAAAATGGTGTGACTACCATGAAACAGAATGGCATTTCCTCAAGAAATTTAAAATCAGACTATCATATGATCCAGTAAGCCCTGTTGCACACATACAGCAGAATTGAAAGCAGAATCTCTAAGAGATATTTGCACAGCTACGTGCACAGCAGCATTATTCACAATATCTAGGTAGAAACAATTCAAATGTCCATAAGCAGATGAATGGATAAATGAAATGTGGTATACCTATACAATAGAATATTATTCCACTTTTAGGGGCGCCAGTGTGGCTCAGTCAGTTAAGCTTAGACTGTGATCCTGGGGTCTTGGGGTCCTGGGATCTAGCCACTAGTCAGGCTCCTTGCTCAGTGGGGAGCCTGGTTCTCCCCCTCCTGCCCCCCCAGCTTGTGCTTGTGCGCTTGTACATGTGCAGTCTCTCTCAAATAAGTAAAATCTTTTATTTTTTATTTATCTGACAGACAGAGATCACAAGTAGGCAGAGAGACAGGCAGAGAGAGAGGAGGAAGCAGGCTCCCTGCTGATCAGAGAGCTCGATGTGGGGCTCGATCCCAGGACCCTGGGATCATGACCTGAGCCGAAGGCAGAGGCTTTAACCACTGAGCCACCCAGGTGCCCCACAAATAAATAAAATCTTAAAAAAATATTACTCCACTTTTAAAAAATATATTATTCCACTTTAAAAAAGGAAGTAATTCCTCTCATATTCTATGACATGGATGTAGCTTAGTGATGTAGCTTATGCTAAGTGAAATAAGCTGGTCGCAAAAAGGACAAATATTGTATGATTCCACTTACATGAAGTGTATTAGTTTGTTAGGGCTGCCATAATAAAATACCACAGAATGGGTGTATACATTTCTATACTCTAGCAAAAAAACAAGTAGGAAATAAAATTTTAAAGTCTATTATGGATAATTTCAAACACAAAAATGAGAATAATGAACTTCCCCATAACCATTATCTAGCTTCAACAATTGTTACTATTTTGCCATTCTTCTTTTGTCTCTTCCTTTATTTGTAAAACAAACCATTTAAAATGATTTTTATTAACTTTTTATTTTATTTATTTATTATTTATTTTAAAAAATTTTTATTAACTTTTAAACAAACAAAGTATCATCACTTTACTAATAAATATTTAGGAATAAGTTTCTTTTGTTTTCTTTTAAAGATTTTATTTATTTATTTATTCATTTATTTATTTAATAGAGAGCAGGAGAGCAGGAGAGAGGGAGCACAATCACGGGGAGGGGAGAGGGAGAAGCAGGCTTCCTGTAGAGCAGGAAGCCTGACGTGGGGCTGGATCCCAGGACCCTGGGATCATGACATGAGCCCAAGGCAGAGGCTTAACGACTGAGCCACGCAGGTGCCCCTTTAGGTAAAAGTTTCTAAAAATTAAATATCTTGTTTTTTTTTTCATAATGAATACCATTGAAACACATTAACCTAACCAAATTAATATCAATACCTTAGTATCATTTACTATCCGGTCCATATTAAAATGTCTACAAGTGCTTAAAAAATGTCTTTTTAGTAGTTTGATAAGCTATACTTTAAAAAAAACCCACTTATGATTGCAATAAAACTAGAATGTGAAAAACCTATATGAAGGAAACAATAAAATCTTATTGAAATTCATTAAAGAAGACCTAAATAAACACATATGCCACGTCCAAGGATGGGAGGACTCAATATCCTGAACATAGCAATTCTTCCCAAATTGGCCTATAAATTCAATGCAAGTTTCATCAATTTCCCAGTGGGGTTTTGAAGGAACTCAGGACTGATTCCAAAATTTACATGGAAGACCAAATCTTAAAAAAAAGTGAGGAAGAGTTAGGTGTGAGATTTTCCCTACCCGATATCAAAACTTATTACCAAGTTGTATTATGATAGTATTAGCAGATGCGTTAAGATGTAGTGGAAGAGGAATATTTAGGTGAATCAGTGGAATGAAATACAGTCCAGAAATAGACCCATGAATATATGGAAGATTGAAGCGGCACTGCAAGTCTCATCTGAAAGGAAGAAGTTTTAATAGTGACAGGACAATGTGAATATAGTTACCACTACTGAACGGTACACTTAAAAATGGTTAAGATGATATAAAGTGCAAATAAAATTGAGGGTTTTTTCCCACATGGTTATGGTCTATTTGTATTTCCTCTGCAGTAAAATGCTTATATCTTTAGCCTATTTTTCAGTTGTGTTGTTTGCCTTTTACTATTAACTTGTGGGCATTTTGGATACTAATTCTTTGTCAGTGTTGAAACTATCTTCTCCTAATTTATGGTTTGCTTGTTGACTTTCCCAATGAAAATCTATCTCAACTTTAATTTAGTTGAATTATGAATAGTTTCATCTGTTTTATGTTTCCATGTGTGTTTTCCCTTACCCCAAGATAGAAAACATATTCTTTATTTTCTTCTCAAAGTGAAAATTTTTGCCCCTCACACTTACATCCTTAATCCTTCTGCCCTTGATTTTGGAATATGGTATAAGATAGGTATTTACTATCTTTTACTTTTCTCATATAGATAGCAAATTGATTGTTGATGATATTTAGATTTAATGCTGTATTGGATTAAGATTTGGGGGGATTTTCAAGAAATGGGCAGAAGATATGAACAGACATTTCTGCAAAGAAGACATTCAGATGGCCAACAGACACACGAAAAGATGCTCCACATCACTTGGCATCAGGGAAATACAAATCAAAAACACAATGAGATACCACCTC